CCCATCACTGTATTGAGGAATTAACCACAGTGTTTTGAAAGGAAGTCTAGATGATAACCCTGGAATGTAGGAGACAAGGGGAATGTCAGGGAGTGGTGCTTGAGCACGGAGGAATGTACCACTGAGCATGCTCAGGTGCTGGAGTGGCCTGAGCAAAGTGGGCAAGCACAGAGTTTCCTTGGTGCTGAGGGCCTACCCATTGATGCCCCTGTGCTCTCAGAGGTGCCCCGCAATGACACGTGCCCGGAGTTACCTGAGATCCCCAATGGCTGGAAGAGCCCGTCGCAGCCTGAACTGGTGCATGGCACCATGGTCACTTACCAGTGCTACCCCGGCTACCAGGTGGTGGGATCCAGTGTCCTCATGTGTCAGTGGGACCTAACCTGGAGTGAGGACTTGCCTTCCTGCCAGCGGGGTGAGTGGTCCTGTTCCACATTCTCCCTTGCCCAACACTGCCTTCATGCCATTCTCTCAGATTCTGACCCAGATTCCAGCTGCTATGACTGGTATCCTCGAAGTTCCTTCATCTCCTATAGCCTCAATCTCCTCATCTATAAAATGGGAATAAAACCTTTTCATAGAGTTATCAGCCAAGAGCTCCAAATACTACTCTGTTCCTGGTAGATGGCAATCAGTCTTTGTTAAGTCTGATGGCTGGGAAGGAGCCAAGTTGCACTGGGGAACAAAGCCAGGGGTCATTGGCGTTGGCTGAGTTCTCCTGAGGCTGTTTCCCTCCATCACTCCCCATAGTGACTTCCTGCCATGACCCTGGGGATGTGGAGCACAGCCGACGCCTCATATCCAGCCCCAAGTTTCCCGTGGGGGCCACCGTGCAGTATATCTGCGACCAGGGTTTTGTGCTGACGGGCAGTGCCATCCTCACCTGCCATGACCGCCAGGCTGGCAGCCCTAAGTGGAGTGACCGGGCCCCCAAATGTCTCTGTAAGTATCAGCTGGGTAGAAGGGGAAGCCTCCGGTAGAAGGGACAGAAGATGCTGTCCTTGTAGACTAGGGACCTGGCACCCTAACTAGGCTCTGCTTACTTTACAGTGGAACAATTCAAGCCGTGCCATGGCCTCAGTGCCCCCGAGAATGGTGCCCGTAGTCCTGAGAAACAGCTATACCCATCAGGGGCCACTATCCACTTCTCTTGTGCCCCTGGCTACGTGCTGAAGGGCCAGGCCAGCATCAAATGTGTGCCTGGACACCCCTCACACTGGAGTGACCCCCCACCCACTTGTAGGGCTGGTGAGTGCCTGGCCATCCCCAAGACCCCAAACAGGCCCCTAGAGCTGCTCTGGCAAAGATGCCCAATGTTTATAACCCCTTGCCCATGTCCCTTTATGTTACTCCCAGTTTCTCCCCAATCTCTGTCAGAACCTTCTGAGCTGGCATCCCCAGGATAAATGCTGGGTTGGGGTCTCCTTGAACAGAACTTTGCAGTGATCAGCCCACTCCCTGCTTAGTGGTTTGGCCCCTTGGGCTCATGTACTGCCCTTGGCCCTCTCCTCTTGTTCCAGCCTCTCTGGATGGGTTCTACAGCGGCCGAAGCCTGGATGGTGAGCTCCCACCCTAGAGGGCCAGGGAAGTGGTCTCCCTGCCTGTGTTCTCATAACTCCCAGGCCACAGGCTCCCCCAGTGAGAAGGGCAGAGAAGTCTGGGACTGCAGAGCAAAAACCCTTCCCTGCTCTCAGTCAACTAGAGGGAGCTGGTGGCCAGATGTTCCTGGAAAGGGTGAGGGGATATGGGCTCCAGGTGACAGGGGCCTCGGCCCTAATTCTACCCTCTGTTCTTTCAGTTGCCAAGACACCTGCTGCCTCCAGTGCCCTGGATGCTGCCCACATTGCAGCTGCCATCTTCTTCCCGCTCATAGCAATGGTGCTGTTGGTGGGAGGTGTGTACTTCTACTTCTTCAGGTGAGGCTGGCTTCCCCGCCTGCCCTGCATACCTGGGAGCTACTAGGCCCAACTCAACTCAGTCTTCCTGAACAGGTTACTCTGTCCCCACAGGCTTCAGAGGAAAAGCGCCCTGCAGCTGCCCCCGACGCGCCCTCTCCCCTATGACCGAATCACCGTGGAGTCAGCGTTTGACAATCCAACTTATGAGACTGGAGTAAGTACCCATGCCAGCCTTGGCACGCTACCCAGAAACAGGTTCTCTGCTCCCTGGGGCAGGTTCCCCTGAGGGTACTGTTGAGCCCTCTTACACTTTTCCTTTTCCTTGAAAGGTGGATGAAAGCCCAGCAAACTTTATACAAGTTTCTAACTCCCAGTAGTTTCTTTCCTTCACAGGAGACGAGAGAATATGAAGTCTCCATCTAGGTGAAGGCAGCCTGGGGAAGCCGGCTCAGCCCTGCACCACAGCCCAGCAACAGACCTCCTGGCTTCCTGTTGTCCCTCCACCTCCTGTACATACCACCTGGGAAGAGATGCCACCAATCCCCTCAACAAGTTGTACCCTTCCCCACCTACTATGCCTACCAGGGACCTATTTTCTGGTAACGCTGGCCATGAAGGGTCCTTTCTTGGGCCCAAGTCAGGGGGCATCTGCTGATGGACAGAACACAGCTGGAGCACATGCATCAAAGACCAGCATTCTCCTGTTCCTCCCTCCCGCCCTGTCTCTCCAGCCTGGAATTCATAGGCAGAGCCGTGAGCACCTCTCTGCATGTGACCGCTACCAGCCCTGGCAGGATTAACATGATGGCGGTGGAAATGGAGCCCAGGTGCTCCGCACAGGACCACCACCAGTGGCCTAAACTGTGCTCTGCTGGGTGGCCTTGGGATAGTCCCGGCATGCCCACACCAGCCCCTTGGGAAGGTCTCTAGTTCTTCTCTAGGTTCCAGGAATGGACAATTCTGCTCTTGTCCCTTCCCCATAGAAGCAACCCTTTGAAGGGGTTTTAAGGGGCTCAGGGACCCTACTCCAATCTCAGACTGGATTACTATGGGCACTCATGCTCCATACCAAAGCAGGACTCTGCTCTGCTGGCAGCCTGGACCCTGACATCAACTGGGCTATTACAAACATTCTCATTCCCATTAGCCCTCCTGCAATCCCAGCCACTTGCCAGGCTGCCCTCCTGGCCACCATGTTTTGGGAAAGGGGGAGTGGGCAGACATATTCCGGAGAGCAGCAGAGTACGTGGAATGGCACAGGGGCTCAGAGAAACTCAGACGAAGGCCCAGGCACTGGCTGCAGGCCACTTTGTACATGTAATGTATTATAGGGGGTCTGGGTTCCAGTCAGAGAACAATCTTTTATTTCTGTTGTTTCCTTATTAAAATGGTGTTTTTGAAAAAACCAAGCAATGACCAGGTAGATGGTGGTTTCTTGGAGGGAAGGGGGGTGGGAGATAGAGGGAATATGGATTTTTGAAACCAGCAGGCATGCTGGACCTACCAATCAATCATCCCCAGATATTACTAAACACAAACAAAATGTTACCAGCAGGTGCTGCTGTTACAGGGACCACGGTCCCTAAAAGGTCAGTGTAATAGATGGTAGATGAAATGAGAGACCCCAAGGACTAGTGCCACAGGGGTGAGGGATCCCCAACAACCAATTCATCATCCACCCAGATGCCCCATTTCCTCCTCTGCTGAGTCCAGAACTGCAGGCTGGCACTTTTTCAAGTCCCTCACTAGATTGCTGACAAGGCCCAGGAAGCCTTCTTTCCCAGGAAGCAATGCTTGGGGAATTGGAATAGGAACCAGTGAGTGAACCACTGAGCACAAGGCCCAGTCTGGTGTGGCCTCAGAGAACATGTCACGAAAGGGGCCTTGCTTGGCTCCCAAGCTAGGCAAAAGTCCTACCCTTGGACTCCAAAGTTGTTAGGCAGGCTCTGCTTAAGTTTATCAGGTTTGGTCCTTCCTGGCTGTTATGGCCTTCCTGAGATGGGAGTATCTGCCTAGCCTTGCCTCCCCTCCCACTCCACCGGCACGCACACCTGTGCTTAGAGGTGGGCCCTACAAGGGTACTCTTCAGAGTAAGAGACGGGCAGGTAACAGGGAGTTATGGGAACTCAGAAGCCAAAGATAAAAATTCCTGAAATAAATAATAGCAGCAACCAGCACCTTCTGCTACTACAATTTTCCAACAGGAAGATATTATTACTCTTGGTTGTCTCCTACCTCCCACCCTCCCACCTCACCTCCACCCCACCCCACCTCTATCTCTAGCACAGGCCACCTGTTGTTGTTATGTACCGTGGAGTCGATTCCGACTCATAGTGATCCTGTACAGGGTTTCCGAGGCTGTAAATCTTTACAGGAGCAGAAAGCCTCATCTTTCTGCGCTACCAGAGCTCCTTGTTGTTGTTAAGTGCCGTCGAGTCGGTTCCG